ACTTTTCGAGAGGTACTTCACCTGCCAACATCGCCTGCCAACTTTTCGAGAGTTACTTCGCCTGCCAACTTCTCGCGCCAACTTTTCGAGAATTACTTCGCCTGCCAACTTCTCATGCTAACTTTTCGAAAGTTACTTCACCTGCCGGCTTCTCACGCCAACTTTTCGAGAGTTACTTCACGCGCCATCTTCTCGTGCCAACTTTTCGAGAATTACTTCACCTGCCAGCTTCTCACGCCAACTTTTCGAGAGTTACTTCACCTGCCAACTTCTCATGCCAACTCTTTGAGAGTTATTTCACCTGCCAACTTCTCATGCCAACTTTTCTCTTGAGTTACTTCGCCTGCCAACTTCTCATGTCAACTTTGCGAGAATTACTTCACCCGCCAACTTTGCCAGCCAACTATTCGAGAGTTACTTAACCTGCCAGCTTCTCATGCCAACTTTTTGAGAATTGCTTCGCCTGCCAACTCCTCATGCTAACTTTGCGAGAGTTACCTCACCTGCATCAACTTGCCTCTATGCTTCCGGGCCACTCGTCGTCTAGTTTTTGTTTTTTTCTTAGCCCTGCAAAGGTTGGCTCGCTTGAAATGCAACCTGGAGCCAAATTGCAAGCATATCTAGGGGTCACTATTTTGCAGCCACACGCCTGCGCGCAGCGTTTTAGACTTCGAATCCTTCGCAGGACGAGGTCATTTCCTGGACGGACGAGTGCTAGGAGCCTCTCAGGTAGAATAGAATCCATTTGGGAAACGCCCTCTAAAGAGAGAGGGCCATCTCCGTCTTCACCCTGCTGTCCGACAAATTCGTGAAGCTTGCCTGCGATCACCAGGCAGCCGGGGTTCCTTCGTGGTCAAGGAGCTGCGTCAAGAGGCTCTTTGTCTGCACCAGCGCCTCGTTGTTGATCATGATGAGCTCGCACTGGTGCGCTCCGCCGTCTCGCTCCAGGAAGACCCGCGCGCTCTGGTTGCCCAGCAACCGCAGCTCCGGGCCGCTGTTGGAGGCCGCGCTGTTGTTGGAGATCTGCAGCTTGCTCCAGCCCGCCCAGTTCTTCGTCAAGAAGAGATCGTCCGAGAAGTCGGAGGTGTGGTCACGATGCGTGTTGGACGCGAAGAGCTGCGGCGCGGAGACCGTTCCCGAGCTCGTCACGTCGCCGCAGACCGCTGCCCGTCGACACTCCGCCGCTCGTGGCCGGTCCAGGCTCTCGCAGTCCAGCGGGCCCGCGGAGGCCGCCCCGGTGATCGTCAGCGTGGCGCCCGTAACCGCCCCGGTGGCTGCGAAGCTTGCTGCGCCTGAGGCCGTCAGCGTGCCCGTGGACACGTCGCCCACCGTGGTGAAGTTCCCAGCGTTGGCCGTGTTGTTGATGGTGAGAGTGCTGCCGGTGATTCCGGTGGCCGAGCTCAGCAGGCCCACGCTGGCCGCCCCGCTGATGCTCAGCGAGCTGCCCGACACGGCGCCGGTGGACGTCAGCGTGGCTCCGGCGACGGTGCCGGTGGCTGTGAGCGCTGCGCAGGAGACTGCGCCCGAGGCGTCCACGCCCGTTGTGAACACGTCCGTGCAGTTCACGTCGTTGCACAGCAGCTGGTCGCAGCCCACGTTGCCCTGCGCAGTGAGTCCGTCCAGAGTGGCCGAGCCCGTGAGGGCCAGCGAGTCGGCCAGCAGGTCCGTCACGGCTTCGCGACTCCGCCCGGCGGCGCCGAGAAGCGTGCTCCAGACACCCTGCGCGGCCGTGCCGAGGAAGGTGCCGGTGACGCCCACGTAGTCGTTGTCGGCCGCGCTGACGTACATCACCAAGTTGGAGGCCGTGCCCAGCCGGTACCGGCAACCGCCGGGCTCGCACGGGAGCGGATGGAGCCGTCGTGCTGAACTTGCGGCGCGGACCGGGGGCCCACCAGGGACTTTAACCAGCCCCTGATCCGGGAGGGCCCGAACGACTACATCCTGCTGCGCAACGGGGGAAGAAGCTCGTGCGCTCCCTGCAGGGCGCAAAGCATCTTCCGCGACAAGTACTGAGTACCTGGTCCACGTGCCGGTGGTCATCTGGGGCAGAAGGCGCAGCGGGCGGAACGCCGGGGCGGGCTAGCGCAGGGACTGGCTGCCGGTGAACGAGGGGGTGCGGCCATGACGAACGCAGTACAGGAACTCGGTCTTCGAGGTGGAGACGCTCCTGCGCCAGCGCATGAGGGGGGAGGATGTGCTGCCAATGTTCATCCAACTGGTGGCCTACCAGCTGACGCCTCGGCACGGGAGTCTGTGCTCGACTAAATCTCCCAAAAGAAAGCTCATTTTTGAAGGCAGATGACAGTACCAAAAAAGACTAGCAACCATTACCCATGCCTACTTTGCGGCTGCCTTACATGCAGCATGGGCTTGTTTCTTAGGTCATGCTATGTCCACCGGAAGCATTGAATGAGCCATCCACGCGGGCCTGGCTTTCGACAAGCGCGTATGCTCAGCCGACGGGTCCGCTACACCACCCAGACAAGCTTTGTGGCTCTGACCGGAGGCAGGTCGATGTTGCGGCCGGATTGCTTTTGCGTTGAAAAAGTGCCGATTATGCTTCCTTTTCGGGCCAAAACTCATTTTTTCAGGTTACTGGGTGTAGCTGGGGCTGCGGCTCATTCAGACTGGGCAGGGAGTCTTTCTGGCGTGGGGAAGTAAAGTTTGAACCAATCCTGTGCAACATCCGGAGCTGAGGCTACATGGCGTTTCCGCTGGGGCACCAGCCCTGCGCGGATACAGCCGTATGCTGAGAACGCGCTTCCAATACGCAGAAGACGCGGGTGCTCAGCGCGCTCAAGATCCATAGCGCGCCTCGATCCGCTAGGTTGTCCAAAGCCCAGCCACCGGGCAAGACCGCCCGTTTATGGAGGCCTGCCATGGGAATTCGCAGGTTCAAGCACAGTGGCGCCTTCAAAAAACACACGGTCATCGCAGTTTTGAAGCCCTTGCCCAGCCGCACTGCGCAGCATGCTGCCAAGGGACAAACAGCCATAGCGTCTGATTTCCAAAGAAACAGACAAGCCTCCAGGTTGGGGTGAACAACTCTTTACCACCGCATGGGCCCTGCAATCTTTTCGTGAATCAGAAGCAGCCTAGGCCCATAAGCATAAATGGTCAGTTTCCGCCTATTCCAAGAGAGTATAATATCTTGGCAGACCAGCTTAGAGGCGTTAAGAACAAGTCGCAATCTAGAGAGCATTTCACACGCACGATTTCTGGCCGCGTGTGGAGGAAATCAATCAAAAGAAGGAGTCTTTGAGAGCTGTGACATTAAGTGGAATCGGCCACATCGAGTGGAGGCGGGAACAATGCGGCATCTGGGGCATTGAGTTCCACGTCCAGGGTGAGGAGGGTGCGCGACACCAAGTGGAATCAGTTCAGCACGACAACGCAAAGAAAGGCTGGAACATGAAGAGCAAATTCGAGCAGGGGAAGTTTTGTAGATAAGCCGGTAAATAACCTGGCATGGTGCAGATGCAGTGGAAAACAAGCCTGCTGATCTTTTCCCGTATTTTGAATCCTCACTTTTGCATTGTGAGGGGGACCCCCTCACTGCTTTTTAACACGCGTATAAATGCCTACCTACCTTGCCGGAGAGGAACTGATGATGTTGAGGATGTAGGAAGCGCTCGATTTGCTGGTGATGCTGGGGATGTTGGCTGGACATGCGGGGATGCTGAAAACGATGCTGATGATGTTGACGGGCTGGTGTAAAAATACGTACATTTCGTGATTTGTTTTTGTAAAATACAACATTCTACTAGCCAAGACGGAAGACAAAAAACATCATCCCACAATAAAACAAAAATCCCAAATTAAATCTCGACCCCTTGAATATCTTGGTAAGCACGGTCTTCGAAGCGCGGATTGGAATCTGGGTTTTATGACAAGCGTGATATTTGGTTGCAATCGCTCTCCATTGGGGCAAACACTGTGTCAGAAATATGTCTGAAGTGATGCGTTCGTAGCCAGCTATGGTTTATGTTTTTTGCAAAATTGCCTGCCTCTAGGCTGTTTGTTTTTGCGGGCTCTTTACTTGTGGTTTGGATTGGTGGTAAGTGTAAGGAAAGTGTCAATTGATGGAACTATAGAGGAATTGTTTGGATGTCCTGCTAATAGCGAAATACACACGGAGGCGGTGTTGTCTCTCTCCCTCTCTCTCTCTCATGCGGCGTGAGTGAGGTTATGCCTTGAGCGAAAACTGCAGACAACGCCCATGCTGTTGTGATTTTTGCGTAACTGACCCACCCCGCCACTCCCACCCCTCCAGAGCGCGGGTTTGGAGCTGAATTTCGTGGCAAGCGCAGCACTTTGAGTGATTGCGTGCGCCTAGGGCCTGGATCGTTGCGCGGTCCGGTGAGTCCAGAATTGTGTGCTCAGGTGAGGCCCCAGCCGGTGCCTTGGGCGCGCATTTTTTTTTTTTTTTAAGTGCGGGAACACCGAGGGCGCAATGACAGGAAACAAGGATTTCACCCCCAAAATTCAAAAAAAAAACAAGACGTTTTGTTTTTCTCAAGTTTTGCAAGCGCATGCTAGTACGCGATGGACAGGAGAGGCAGGGAAGTTGGTTGGAATCTTGCCATGTCAATGTGTTGAGCCAGTGTGGTTGGTTGAGTGGAGTCTGCGCACAACAGCCATGTGAAGAATTCATCGCGTTGACAACTACACGACAACTGAACTACACTGTGATGCTGCCAAGCAGGTCGAACGACATTTCCTTGTGCCATTGGTACCCACTTACACTTTTTGACGGAATTCTCCCATTGCTGAGAAGGCGGTCCAGGAGATTGTGCTGGGGTTCCTGTTGAATATGTATCTATGGTTCACAGCGTCAGCATGGACATGTTCACAAGAATCCTCACTTATTGGAAGCAAATGTGAGCAAGCTTCAATTTTGCAGTAGCGACAATTCTCAGTGATTGAGCAAATACTTGTCAACAGCACTTCAGCGGTTCCAAAAGGTCGAGGGTGTGAAGGCGGGCCATGGAAAACATCACATGGCTCACTGTTCCAGTTCTCGATGTTCCAGCCGCGTGGGGTGCCCAGAGCCAAGCATCCTGGTTGTCATGCATTTTGGCCAAACACCGAGGTTCAAATCAGGCCAAAGGGACTAAGACTCACCTTTGCCGCCTTTGTATTGCTGCAGCCTCACTTGTGATGCGGGACCTGGCAGTGAATATGGAGGATCGGCATTTTTCGCATTGTTGTGTCATTCCTCAGGTTGGTGCACGCAGCACATCGTTGGGCTTGGTCATCCGATCCCGGTTTCGTAGGTGTCAGCATCTTGGTCACAAGCAACAGTTTGTAGCGATGCGGCTGGCCGGGATTTTTCTTTGCAATTTATTTGCCTGTGTCCGTGCTAGAAACCAAGGTGTTTAGCACATGCAGCAGAGGTAGGCAAAGTTCCCACCTCAAAGATGGTTTTGAGTGGAATCGGGTCAACATCGCTGATTGCTTGACAGCTTCTGAGGCTGCCTCACTGCGCATGCGTGGCGAGAGGAGGCAGTCTTCGCCTTGGCCTTTCCATTCTTTGGCAGATGTTTTGAAAGCAAGATCAAGCGGACCACTTGGAGGGGTTACACATTTGTGAGACAAGCCCACACAGCAGTTCGCTCGGACAGACCTTGGATGCTGATGGCCTGAGTTTCGTCGTATTCTCGAAGCCAACTATTGCCAGGATGCCGATGGCAATATCAGCAGCATGGACTGGGATGAGGCATTTACGACATGTTGAGAAACTAGAGCAGTGAAGCATCTGCCACAGATGCTGAGCAGCTATGCACAACAGGAGTTAAGAAAGGCAACCGGGCTGCTCCAAAGGAAATTGGAGGAGGCGTGCAAACTCATGAAGCTGCCTTTGACGGTTGCCAATTTTGTTGAAGGAAGATCCATTTGCAACAGTGGCGCCACGAGTATCTCCACTAGGCGCAGTGCACATGGTTGGCCAGAATAGCGCAATTTGTTTCTGGGGACCAACTGTAGAGTCGAACAATCAACATGTCTTGGAGCTCTACTTGTTGTTTGCAGCATGTCTTCGGGTTTGGGGCCTCTGCTTCGGCTGGATGGGGCGCCGGCCAGGTCATGACTGGACGGTGGAGAGGCGCTCCCTTTCTGTGCCAGCGGAGTTCGGCATGAAAACGGGCAGGGTGGAGTTACAAGATGGGATGCCGCCAGTGGGCACAGTAAGGCCCTAAGCGCCCTAAGCTTCAGCATGTGTGCTCCATGTGAGAGACAGTTGTTCATGCCTCGACCAGTCCTGCCAGAGCAAAGCTGTCCAGATTGTTTTGCTCGCATGTGAGGTCCTTTTGGCAGATCCCCGCAGCTTTCTGGAGTCCACAGATGAGCCGCCTGCTGCCGCGCGCACCGGGCTTCCCGCCCGCAAGCTGGGTGAGCAGTGGCTTGGCTCCATTACCAACGGGGCGGGATTGCTGGTCCTCAGGCTGTTGCCATCGACGGAGACATCTCGACGAGAGAAAGCACGGCTTCCTGTACGGGCCTCATCTTGTTCGGTGGTTGGGTTAGGCAGGATTGGACAGGAGGTCAATCGAGAATTGTTGGCTGTTTGGCTAAGACAAGAATTGAGCTGTGTTGCAGGTTTGAATATTTTGCCTGCGAGGTTGTCCTGGTAACTCGACATCGCTTTGACAGCATAGAGGCCATGGGTTGGGGCTTTAGATATGGACGTGTCGCTTGAAATCGCTGCAACTCTCGAGGGCGTTCTGCTGGGCAGCTGGAGTGGGAAGCTGCTGGGCGACATGGGCGTTCAGGCAAACAGTCCAGCTGCATTTTGCTTTGCTTGTCCTTGGTTGCGCCGCAAAGAGCGCAATGCTTTGATTTGCACGTGCGACAGAATTTCATGACCCGCCCTCTGTACATCGGCGGTGCTCGGATCTCAGATGTTTGGTACTTTTTGTTGCCATCACGCCAGCTGATCTTTGCGCTGTTCCTGCTCATTTGGGCACATGCTGTCCAGGTCAATCGGAGTGGACTTTCGATGTTGCACGCGTGCGCCCCGTGAATTGCACTTTGAATTGCATCAGGGCAGGGTTGCAGTGATATGGCCAGGTACCCGGACATGCCAGGATCCTTCAAGCTGACTGAGGAGGGTCTGTCAGCCAGGCCAAAGACAGAGTTGTGCTTCTTTGGCATGGTCTGGAGCCGGTTTGTTGAACGGCAAATAATGCCTTCGCTGCCGGCCCATGTGACAAGCCAGCTAGCAGAATGAATGCCACTGCGTCTACCTGCGCAAAAGCCGCCACCCAGCTATGTTGACGTCAGACTAATTTGTGAGTGTGATTGAACCGTAGAGCTTTTCCACGATGTTGCAACCGTTAGGCACAGCCTACTTTTCGACAGTAGAAGAAGTTAGCAGACCAAGCTGCTGGCGATGCCATGGCTCGGGGATAATGCGCCGATGGCTGGTGTGTGCTGTGCTGGTGGCCGTGCTGCGGCCATTACTTTTTGCCAGCCCCAGGTCGGGCGAAGGAAAGTCCTTTGCCATGTTGATCAATCCGAAGACTGGCGGATGCAATGGGCCAATGGGCTTGGCGTTCGCAGGTCGGCAGGACGGGTGCAGCGGCGGGCCCAGCAGAATCCCTACGACGTTTTGGGCCTGGGCCGCACAGCGGGCTACGACGATATTCGGGCGGCTTTCCGTCGGCTGGCCAGGACAGGAACCGGATAGTGACATGCCAGGGAACGGTAACGTGTAGTAACTAGCTGAGGCATGCCAAATGACCGCCGCGTTGCATCCAGGAAGTATCATCCAGATGTCCCAGGCCATTTGTCAGTTTTGGATGCGCTCAGTTGGCTGGTTTTTTCGGCTTACACAGCTTGCATGCGGCCAGACACTGGCGACGATGACCGGTTCCGAGACATCCGGGAGGCCGGGGTAACGCGCGGGATGAGTGCACTGAGTGCACCGAGTGCACCGAGCCATGAGGCGCTGGAAGAGCTGGGGACTCCGGAAGGTGCGGGAGCTTTGAGCGCCGAGTCGCCGAGTCGCCGAGTCGTTGAGTCGCCTCGAGACTCAGGCCGGACTCGATGGGCCAGGCCGAGCCAAGCCCAAAGTTCTTACAGCTCTTATCCCAGGTGGGGTAAGCTTGCCCGGTTCATGGCTCGGAAAATGACCCGCAGGACTGATCCGTTTGAGAAGTCCTGGAAGCAAGAAACCAGAAGGCGTTGGCAGGAGCAGGAGCGTGCGAGAGAGCAAGAGAGGAGGCAGGCACGCAGAGCAGCAAGTGGAAACATGAGAAGATGACATGAGAGCCTCAGCCTGCTTCGAATCCTGTAGGTGGCAGAAGCAGAGGCAACAGCAAGAGAAAGAGGAGGCCAAGAAGGCGGCGACTTGCAAGCCGCGACCAAAGAGCTGGGCTCGCAGTGGCAGGCCCGGGCTGCAGCCGCGCAAGACACATTCTTCTCCAAAGAGCTCAAGAAGGCGCCTTTTGCGGTGGTCGGTTGAATGGGCGGGGACGGATTCTGCCGCTTTGGACAGCCTTTCGGCTCCAATGGGCCTGAGAAGAGCAGAACATGACTTGGGAGGCCAGGACAAGCAATTTGCAGCAAGACGTGTATTGCAATTCATCAAATTATTTTGGTGATTGCCACGGGACATTGAGGGTGCGGGTTTGCAGGGGAAAAGAGTGTCTAAGTAAGCTGTAGAAAGACACTCCGCCTGTCAAGCAAGCCATCCCGCGTGTGCCCTGCCATGCTCCCGCCGGCCACATGGGAAGCTCCGAGCAGGCCCGGAATTGGTTGAAGACAGTGGTGGTTGGTCAAACTTGTGCTCTTTTGTTGAACCTCCCGAAAGAGGCAAGCCAGAAAGCATCCGCAATTAACTTTGCATCTCAAAAAGTAGCTGCAGGACGAAGCGCCCTCTCCCAGATGTTCAGTGCATGAGGCACCACCAAATGCTTGCAAATACATGGGGACAATTTCATATGGGGCTGATCGGGAAGGTCATGAACCTTCAATCATCTCTTTCAAGGAATGGTGAAAGTGTTTGTGCCAGTCTGTTTTTTTTGAGGTTGACGCCCTGACACAGAGCTATTCGGGCCTTCCGGGGGGGGGGGGGAGGGGGGGGCAGCCACGCGTTTGAGGCGAGCCCTTTTCGGGCCGGAGATGCGGCGGAGATCCATGGTCTGGTCAACCCAGCATATTCTGTTTGAAGCGGCTTTGGTTGGCATTTCTTTTTCCGAGGGTAGGACGGTCATTTGTTACGGAATGTTCAATGATTGACCTTGAATCAGGGTTGGGATGGGGACACAGCCACGGCCAGGTGAGAAAACCGGAAAACAATGGGAAGAAAGTTGCCATCATTGAGTGGCTCGAAAAGGAGGAGAGGTTCAAGGCTGGGACTACGAAACTCCAGGGTTTGCTCTGATGACAAGGTGTCTTGTGGTCTTGCTCCAAGCAACGCGTAGGTGGAGTTTCCGTCAGGAAGCACCACCAAAATAAAGCCCGAGCACTTCGGCTTTCTTTCATCAAGACCAGCTGGGAGTGGTGACTCTATCAGTTCGGTTTTTGAATGAGTTGCAATGAGCTGAGGAACTTGAAGAGGGTTGAAGCACCTCTAGCACCACCCGTTGTGAGGCTTGGGATTAAGAATGACAATATCATGCTTGTCATCCCTTGCGCCGCTGTGCCTTGGCCGAATGGAGTTCAGGGAGATCGAGGAGGAAGAGGCTGAGAAGGCCTCGCCCCGACGGGAGAAGGCCAAGAAGCGGCGACGAAGCTCCAGCTCCCGACGAAGTGGCAAGAGAGCCAGGCCAGGCGCAGGCATCGCGTAAAACTATGATGTTGTCATGTTTAGCTGCGCAAGATGGTGCTGCAGGAAGGAGCGGTCACAAGAACAGCACGGCGTGCCACAGGCAGCTTTGCAGCAATAGTCATCCCATCGGCCAATCACAGGCTGGAGGCAGGCAGCTTGGGGTTTGCAAAGCTGTAAGGTACGCCCGCTGGACGTACGCCCACCGGACGTACGCCCACCGGACGTACGCCCGCCGGACGTACGCCCACCGGACGTGCGCCCGGATGCGGCTCTGCCCTGAGTTGAGGGAAATGAGAGTCTGAGAGAGCTCCCCAATCCGGTCGGACTCCAAGGCTCCGCGCATGAAAGGTGTCGGGAAAGGCGGCAAGGGGCGCAATATCCAGATCTCCAAGGCAGTCTTGCTTTGTGGTGGTTGCTGAAAATGTTTGGCAGCGCGAGGGGTAAGGAAGCAACAGGACACAAGCTGGTGGGATTGCTTCAAGAGAGTCGAACGTGAGACTAGTTTTGTCACTTGTAGCTATGAACCGCCGGTATTTGTCTCGCTTGCTTTTGTGCGGATGTCGCCTGCCAGACATTGGCCCGGGTGCTGCGACACACTGCGACGAGCCAAGGGGTCAAGGTTCAGGCTGATGGCTTTTGTTTGGTGCAGGAGGGGGCTGTGCCTGGCAAATTCGTATGCGTTTGCTCCAAAAGGTCGGTTTTCCTCTGTTTTCACCCTACAAACAATCAGCCAAGCAGCTTTTGAGGCACCGCGCTCCGCCACCCTTTGGCCCACCAGTCCTTGTCGCGGAGGATCTCTTGGTGCTTCCGGACTTGAGATCGCTGGGTTGCACGGTAGAGGATGTGAAGGCAGGTTTCCGCCAACGCTTCCTTTAGGTTGTGCATTTGGTGAATGGGTTTGAGCGTGTGACGTGAGCGCAGGCAGCCGTGCAGACTAACGACAAGAAGCGATTTGAGATAAAGGAGGATAGCCAAAGCCAGGAGTGTCTGCGAGTTTTGCGTTGCCCTTTATAGCTTTGTGGTTGAGTATGTTGTGTCCGTCAGGTTTGGATCAGAGCGGTCCAGGGGCATTCTATGAAGGCAGATGCTGGTGACGCGTTGCCGGATCTTGCGAAGCAACGCATGCGAATATCCTTACTGTGCTTACCCTTGACACTTTACAGGTTGTGGAAGATGACAGTCTTCTGAAGAAGCTTGCCCATTCTGATCCTGATCTGCCAACCGCCCTGCTCACAGATTGCACGGGGCGGCGCACGATGCTGGTACTGATTGTGGATGCACAAGTTCGCGCTCGGCCAAGGTGTGCGTGCATGGCACTTACAGGCGTTTCTTGGAATCAATTCAGAGGCCGGTTTGCACGCTTTGCCGGACCATATTCTTGAGTTTTGAATGATCTATTGAAGGATCTAGATGAAGGGCCATTGCAAGGAAGACGTTGCTGCAGTTGCTGAAGGGAGGGCATGCCGACTGTCAGTGCTATAACCACTATCAATGGCCAGTTCTGTGGCATGCAGTTGCTTTACGGCAGGAATGGCCTCATAGCTGGCGGCGGGATTTCAAACCGCAACCACGTGCACTTTGCGCCTTATGAGCCTCACGACGGACGGGTCATCTCCGGCATGCGCCGCTTGTCTTGTGACGAGATTGCTTTGTTTGCGGATTTCGCTGTCTGCACCTTCAGGTTACAACTGCGAGGCGCGAGAATGCAAGAAGCAGAGAAAGAACACCGTCACCGTTATGTTGCCCGTAAAGTTTTGGACTACAGCTCAGATGGGGCACAGGGCGTCTTGTTGCATGTTTGGCAAGGTGGCGGTTTACGTTGACTTGCCTGCCGCCTTGAAGGAGTGGATATGTGATGCAAGTCGGAAGTCGCACTGAATCTTTGCAAAACATTGAACAAGACTTGTAAGCAAGGAGGAGTCCCAAAAGCAAACAGGAAGCCAACATGGTTTGCCGAGTCTTTGGCTTCAAGGCTTGAAACTTGTCCACCCCATGTCCCAGGAGGGCGTGCCCTTCTTCCGAAGCGCGAATGAGGTGATCCTTTCGCCTGGTATCAACGGCACAGTGCCAGCCAAATTCCTTCTGAAGGCCAAGGATCTGTCGAGCGGAAGCATAGTCAATTTCAGGGCCGAATAGGCCCTGCCAAGTCACTCGTGCGGGTAAAGGTCTCGCGGCCAATGACTGAGATGCAGCAGAAAGCAGGGGAAGGGATGGGCGGGATGGAGATTAGTCCATTTGAAGCATCACCAGCTCCGTATCGGAATTTGGATGGAACTGGGCAGCAACTGCCAGAGTTGCCAGGCAGTTGCACATGCTCAACAGCGACAGGCCCGGGGCTTTTCCGCAGTGGGCGAGGTTTTGCGTGGCGCTTTTGCAAGAACACCTTTTAAAGAGCGGTTTGGAGGCGTTCAAGCGCGCATTAGTTTTGTTGGGATCATTTGTTGTCTCTGAGCGAGAATTGAGCATGCTCTCGGAAATGACAGGCCGCTCGTCGCATGGAGTGGAAAGCTCGAATGAAGGACTGCTGCTTTTTAGTCCATTTGGCCGTGGGTCAACATTTAGCCCACTGAAGATGCTTTCTGATTCCGTTTGTTGTTTTCTTTGAGCAAAGCAGCACAAAAGTGACAAGGTGGACGGGCGGCAGGTGGCCCCCAATTTGGAGAGGTGAGTTTTGACGCATTTCAGCACCAGGTTTGACCTGAGCGAGTGTTGGAGAACTCCGGAAAGTGGAATCGGGCTTGTGGAGACATGGGAGCTGAACACATCCAGGAGGCTGCTCACAAGCTGCGAGAGAAGCTGAAGAAGGACCACAGCATAACGCGAGCCTCAGTTTATACCTGGCCTTCCGCTGTCGGGGGCGTCAGCACAGGAGATGTCAGCTGGCTGGAATATCATCAATGACTTTGAGCAGCAGCGAGGTGAAGAGATGAGGAAGCAGGTTCACTGCCATTTCGAGCATGAGACGGGCACACCAACATTGTTCTAAGACATACCAGTCAATGTGCCAATGTGCCTTGCAAGGGTCCAGGTTGTGCTGTGCATGCCTTGAGAACTGTTGGTTTGAGCTGTCAAGCTCCAATCTATGTGGAAAACTCATTCTAGAACTTTTTCTCTGACTTTTTGGCCATCATTTCTGGCAAGTTTGTTTGGTTTGATTGCGGATCAACTCGCACTGGGCATCGGCCAGCGTTTTGGCAAGGTGGACACGTGGAGTGTGAACCTCGAGTCTGAGAAAGAGGCGGCGGTGGCGCGCCGAGCTGAGGCGCGGAGTGGATTTCTTTGGATTTGGGATGGGAATGATCAGAAAGTGTTTTGCGCGTCCTGCATGGTGACCCAATTTTGAAGATACAGCCACAAGGCCTTCATGGGCAACGGCTACCTTTTGGGGGACTAGGCAGCTGCAGTCACCAACTAGAGAGACAAGTGTGCAGACTTCCTGAAAGCGTTCTTTACGCGATCCAAGCCGCCTTATGCTACATGTCCTTTGGGTGGCCTGCTCTGCATCCTGAACTTAAACAAATCACAGCATCTAATACTGTCTCGCAAATGCAGCAGGATGCCATAACAATATTTTGGTGTTAGGCTTGGTCCTCGACCGCACCAGGGTGTGGATTGCTGTTGCTGGTCCAGTCTGATGCAAGCTGAGCGAGCAATTGATCGACGCAGGATGGCAAGCGTTGGGTCGAGAAGTTTGCTGAGGTTCAGCGCAAGGCAGGAGTTTGTGATCGAGAAGCCTTTGAGCAAAGCCTCGCTGCAAAGCTGCGGTTGTTCCAACTCACATGGCAAACGACGTAGCCGGGCTGCGCCAGACAAAAGCTATGACAGGGGTGAAGCTGAAAGTTGGCTCAAGTGTGTCACGGCTCCAATTTGCCATAAGCCTGTCGAGCGCTGTGCGTTGCGCTGCTTCGGTGGCTTTGCTGTGGCAAGGCGATGCAGTGCTGTTGGAGACCACTGGTGGACTGAGTACGTCGCAGCGGCTCCGCCTGGACAAAAAGTTCGGGAGGCGAAAAGGAAGAAGCTGACGCGGCAAGGAGCCAAGGTTCGGCAGGCGGAAAAGGATGAAGCTGACTTCGCGGCCAAGATGGCATCTTCGCCACTTTGTCCAGGGTTGGTGCAGCAGAATGAGCAACGTAGTTCCACGGCGGCTGTGCAGATGTTGCCGGAGAGGAGTTGAGCGTGCCGCTGCGGTATTACGTCCTGATGCGGCAGAGCAGGGCGTGCATGGCAAGGGCTTTGCAGCTGCAGCAAATGATGACATGTCTCCACGAGGCGTGGGATGATGGGAAGGACCCTCTACCTTGGATCCTGATTCACAAGCAGTGCGCACAGACAGAGTGCTGGCGGGGAGGAGAGTCCGCAAATGCCACACTCCTACAGACATTTTGCTCAGCATTTGTTGCTCGGAGGAGCGGGAAGACTCCTCCGGAAGGTTGCTCTTGGTCGAGGACACAGGTGGAGGAATTCTACCAGACAAGAAAGGCGCAACAACCTTGAAAACATCCCGGACATTTTTGAGGTCCAGGACTGGGGCCCTGGCCTCTCTTCGATTGGCCGTCCAGTCGCAACATATTTCTGAGGGCTCTATCATGTCACTACTTCATGGCGATCTTCTTCGGAGGCAGGACGCGTTACAACGAGCTGAGGATCAGCACTTCATGTTGACAGTTGTGCAAGGGGATCAGTCTTCCAGATGCAATGATGGCTGGAACTGAACTCATGCAGAACGTGCCCGTGCTTCAGTGAGCGCAACACAAGGCATACCTCAAATAGTTGCAGATGGGAGGCTTCAAGTACAGCCTGAAAGACAGCTTTATGACTTGGACATTCCAGTGCTGTCAATTGGAAGTCGAAAGCCATAATACGGACAACGGCAGATGCAGAAATCCCAAAATCCCATGTATCACTTCCAGGGCGTTGAGACCGACGGACCGAGCCCGACGCACGTTGCCAAAATACCGGGTGTGTCAAAATGAGGTTGCGCCATGTTGGATAACACCCACAGCTCCCTTGCCGGTTTGCTTCGCAAAGACAATGTGGCTAGTCAGCAATGTTGCTTGTGCATGTCATTTTCCCTCCCCAATGACCGACTGAGTATTGAAAGTGCTTGTTTGCAGGCGTCGCATCGTCAGGAGGAGCTGACTTGTCCGGGCGTATCCGCAGCTTCTTACCCTTTCTTGTCTGATTTTGTGTGCATTTTGGTTCCTCCTTGTTGTTTTCTTTGCCAGTACGACATGACAAACCTGTTATTTTGCTGACTCTTTTCAGCTACTCTGCTTTCTGCAGTGTGCTTGCTCGCACATTTTGTTCCTTCATTCGTGTTTGCATTTACTGCATTGCTTGCGTTTGCGTACTGCCTTGCTTTCTTTGTCTTGACGTGTCATGTTCACCCGGTGATGTGGACCATGTGCGCAGGAAATTGGCAAACTATATGCTGACCGACTCCGAGCCTTTCGAGAAGAATTCCAGCAATCTCGGCAGGCCGCAGCAAGCAGTTTAACCAACAAATCTTGAATATGTTCTGGCCAGTCGAAGGTTGAAACGCACCCTGGATTTGTTGCTTGTATGTATCTCTGTCACCGTCACCCATTCGACAGGTTTGAGCCTACCCATTCTGCAAGCCCATCAGTTGCACATTTGCCAACCGTTTGGCTTAGGCTTCTTCGCCGGAGCGGATGGAGAAGATCAAGAAGGACCTTACTTCGAATGATGGCCCCCGTCAAACAGTTGGTTTCTTGTTGGTTCGGCAGGAGCAAACAACATGTTCCCATTGTGATACAGAACTGTTGCCCCGCACAGCCGCCCAAGTGGGGAGGACATTGAAGACATTCTCGACATACAGGAGGAGCGCACCTCATCTCGACGCTTCCTTGGCACTGAAAAGCAGGGATCGCTTTGACTCTGACGTGCCATACTTTTTGTAGTTACCACTTCTTTGGAAAGTAAACGCACAACTTTTGCCATTTGCAATGTGCCTCCTGTGCCCGATGGCTTTGTCCTCTGCCAAAAGTGTGGAGCATGCTCGTGAACGCACGATGATGACAAAAAGTGTTGGCACCAGAGCTGAGACTCAGGTCCATGAGCAGATTAACACTAGCTCTCCAATTGATGCCGAGTGGTGGGCAGGTGACGATTACAGGAATGCGGTGCATGAACTCACGATGATGACAAACAGTGTTGGCACCAGAGCTGAGACTCAGGTCCATGAGCAGATTAGCACTAGCTCTCCAATTGATTCCGACTGGTGGGCAGGTGACGATTGCAGGAATGCGGTGCATGAACTCACGATGATGACAAAAAGTGTTGGCACCAGAGCTGAGACTCAGGTCCATGAGCAGATTAGCACTAGCTCTCCAATTGATTCCGAGTGGTGGGCAGGTGACGATTGCAGGAATGCGGTGCATGAACTCACGATGATGACAAAAAGTGTTGGCACCAGAGCTGAGACTCAGGTCCATGAGCAGATTAACACTAGCTCTCCAATTGATTCCGAGTGGTGGGCAGGTGACGACTACAGGAATGCGGTGCATGAACTCACAATGATGACAAACAGTGTTGGCACCCGAGCTGAGACTCAGGTCCATGAGCAGATTAGCACTAGCTCTCCAATTGATTCTGAGTGGTGGGCAGGTGACGATTGCAGGAATGCGGTGCATGAACTCACGATGATGATAAAAAGTGTTGGCACCAGAGCTGAGACTCAGGTCCATGAGCAGATCAACACTAGCTCTCCAATTGATTCCGAGTGGTGGGCAGGTGACGATCACAGGAATGCGGTGCATGAACTCACGATGATGACAAAAAGTGTTGGCACCAGAGCTGAGACTCAGGTCCATGAGCAGATTAGCACTAGCTCTCCAATTGATTCCGAGTGGTGGGCAGGTGACGATTACAGGAATGCGGTGCATGAACTCACGATGATGACAAAAAGTGTTGGCACCAGAGCTGAGACTCAGGTCCATGAGCAGATTAACACTAGCTCTCCAATTGATTCCGAGTGGTGGGCAGGTGACGATTGCAGGAATGCGGTGCATGAACTCACCATGATGACAAAAAGTGTTGGCACCAGAGCTGAGACTCAGGTCCATGAGCAGATTAACACTAGCTCTCCAATTGATGCCGAGTGGTGGGCAGGTGACGATTACATGAACTCACGATGATGACAAAAAGTGTTGGCACCAGAGCTGAGACTCAGGTCCATGAGCAGATCAGCACTAGCTCTCCAACTGATTCCGAGTGGTGGGCAGGTGACGATTACAGGAATGCGGTGCATGAACTCGCGATGATGACAAACAGTGTTGGCACCAGAGCTGAGACTCAGGTCCATGAGCAGATCAACACTAGCTCTCCAATTGATTCCGAGTGGTGGGCAGGTGACGATTACAGGAATGCGGTGCATGAACTCACGATGATGACAAAAAGTGTTGGCACCAGAGCTGAGACTCAGGTCCATGAGCAGACTAACACGATTAACACTAGCTCTCCAATTGATTCCGAGTGGTGGGCAGGTGAACGATTACATGAACTCGCGATGATGACAAACAGTGTTGGCACCAGAGCTGAGACTCAGGTCCATGAGCAGATCAGCACTAGCTCTCCAATTGATTCCGAGTGGTGGGCAGGTGACGATTACAGGAATGCGGTGCATGAACTCACGATGATGACAAAAAGTGTTGGCACCAGAGCTGAGACTCAGGTCCATGAGCAGATCACACTAGCTCTCCAATTGATTCCGAGTGGTGGGCAGGTGACGATTACAGGAATGCGGTGCATGAACTCACGATGATGACAAAAAGTGTTGGCACCAGAGCTGAGACTCAGGTCCATGAGCAGATCAGCACTAGCTCTCCAATTGATTCCGAGTGGTGGGCAGGTGACGATTACAGGAATGCGGTGCATGAACTCACGATGATGACAAAAAGTGTTGGCACCAGAGCTGAGACTCAGGTCCATGAGCAGATTGACACTAGCTCTCCAATTGATTCCGAGTGGTGGGCAGGTGACGATTACAGGAATGCGGTGCATGAACTCACGATGATGACAAAAAGTGTTGGCACCAGAGCTGAGACTCAGGTCCATGAGCAGATTAACACTAGCTCTCCAATTGATGCCGAGTGGTGGGCAGTTGAGGATGGGGTTCTTGGGTAGGAAGCCGATGCATGAACTCACGATGATGACAACAAGTGTTGGCACCAGAGCTGAGACTCAGGTCCATGAGCAGATGAACACTAGCTCTCCAATTGATGCCGAGTGGTGGGCAGTTGAGGATGGGGTCAGCCTCATTTGCATTGAGGTTTAAGGAGGGAGAAGAGGGTTGTTTGAAGGAATGCTGATTTTGCACGCTTTTAAGGGTGGGCTTGGGTCGGGTGTTTGTTGCGGAGTGCGTGGTGGCATCGTTGGGTCAGGAAGCCGCTGCATGAACTCACGATGATGACAACAAGTGTTGGCACCAGAGCTGAGACTCAGGTCCATGAGCAGATTGACACTAGCTCTCCAATTGATTCCGAGTGGTGGGCAGGTGACGATTACAGGAATGCGGTGCATGAACTCACGATGATGACAAAAAGTGTTGGCACCAGAGCTGAGACTCAGGTCCATGAGCAGATTAACACTAGCTCTCCAATTGATGCCGAGTGGTGGGCAGTTGAGGATGGGGTTCTTGGGTAGGAAGCCGATGCATGAACTCACGATGATGACAACAAGTGTTGGCACCAGAGCTGAGACTCAGGTCCATGAGCAGATGAACACTAGCTCTCCAATTGATGCCGAGTGGTGGGCAGTTGAGGATGGGGTCAGCCTCATTTGCATTGAGGTTTAAGGAGGGAGAAGAGGGTTGTTTGAAGGAATGCTGATTTTGCACGCTTTTAAGGGTGGGCTTGGGTCGGGTGTTTGTTGCGGAGTGCGTGGTGGCATCGTTGGGTCAGGAAGCCGCTGCATGAACTCACGATGATGACAACAAGTGTTGGCACCAGAGCTGAGACTCAGGTCCATGAGCAGATTAGCACTAGCTCTCCAATTGATTCCGAGTGGTGGGCAGGAGACGATTTCAGGAAGCCGGTGCACGAACTCATGAGCAGATTCTCACTGGCTTTTTATTTGATGCCCAGTGGTGGGCAGGTGACGATGGCGTCAGCCTCGGTTGCTACGATGGAAATGAAGCAGGGGTTGGACACTGGCTTGCTGCAGCTGTGTTGGGGAGTATGTGGCTGGCATGAGATGTTTTGGTGAGTGCAGACAGCTGGTTGGGCGTGCCTGTCTGGGTGGTTGGCATTGTCAATGCACACATCCTGACGTTATGGTTACAATAGAAAAGCATGTAGTGGCTCTGAGAACATGCCACGGTGGTATCTCGCATGAATGCTCGGCTTGTGTGGTTTTCGACTGTCCTTGCGTAAGGAATGACGGAGAGCTACAGCAGCATGATGGCAAGCTTACAAAGGCCAGCATCTATCTCAAGCACTGCGTCCAGTGCCGATTTTGGTGATACAGTAATTGGTGGCAGGCATCAATGACCGATTCTATTCTAAAAGCCTTAACGTGCTATGCTCGCAGGTGTTCCGTTTCTATCTGAAGACGCAAGGCCCACGAGCGACACTTGCTGTCAGGTCCATGACGGGGGAGCCGAAGATTTGGAAGGACACCTTCAGGCGCTGCCACATATTTCTGTAAAGCGAGGGGCCTTGTTTTTGAGAAGAGAGCCAGAAGGAAATTATTTATTTGGAGGGTTGACTCGGGCTTGCCGTCATGTCGGT